GAAATTGCTTCAGGTGATATGAAATTAAGCCAGTTTTGTGTTGGTCTGAGAACATAAAAGAACTCCATTGCAGCTCCAGGCTACGATGCAAGCAGCTCTGCTGCTTGGGCCATGTGTTCAGTAGGTCCTTTGATATTGGAGGTGTGTTTGGTGGAAAAAGATGAAATGTGGACTTTATTGCAAACCCCAGGGGAAGAACTACCACATAGGACCCTGGAGTTCCGGAGCAAGGTCATGCCATCTGCAGCAAAGAATTACACACCTTCTGAAAATCAGCTCTCTCATGGGACTAGGCCATGTGATGGAATATTTGTCTAAGAGATAGTGGTCATGTATCCAGAACTTCCCATGAAGACCTACGCCTTGTTGGACCCACCAAGTCATGAAGTCAAGTGGACCCAGTAGCAATCTAGCATAAGATGGAAATGACATATCTGGGACCAGTCATGAGTAAGATGCCCGAGTAGGTAGTCCAGACTCCATGTCACCTGACATAGATGTGTCAGTACCTGCTCCCCAATCAGATCACACATATGGCTATATGTGGGAAGGTGAATACGACAAGATGGAGGAGGAGGAAGAAGCCTAAGCCTGGTGCATGGATGGACTCAATTGGTGTGTGTGTGCGCAAGCCTAAAGCAGACACTGGCTGGCTTCATGACAGCCTCATTCGAGTGGCCTTGAAAGACAATGATAAGGGAACATCCTCTCAACGTGTGGTGCTTTGGGTGATATATCTTGTCATGCATTTTGTGTCAAAGGAGAAAGAGTTCTGAGGTTAGAATATGTACAAACTCATAGGCAGTGGTGAATGACATAGCTGACTGGACAAAGGCCTGGAAAGAAAAAGATGGGAAAATCAGTGACAAAGGGGCCTGGATAGACAGATGAGGGTGGACATGAAGTGTGAGGATCTTTGTGTCATATATTATCACCTACCAGAAAACATCCACTACAAAACAGGAACTAAACAACCAAGTAGACAAAATAACTCGGCCAGTTGATGTAAAGCAGTCTTCGTCAGTGTTGGTCCAATGGGCGCATATATAAAGTGGCTACAGCAGCAGGATTGGAGGTTATGCATGGGTCAAACAGCACGAACTTCCATTTAGCAGGCTGGTCTAGCTACCACGGTATCTGAAATGTTCAATCTGTTCAACCTGCGAATAACAGAGACCAAGGCTGAAATCCCAATATGTTACTATTGGGGAGACCATTTGGCCATTTGGTGGCAAAATAACCACATTGGACCCCTTTCATCCTAGAAGGGTCAGCACTTCCTTTCCACAGGGATGGAGCCATATTCCGGACATGGGTATGCCTTTCTTGCCCAGGGGCCTCAGCCAGCACCACTAATGGGAGGCTTGCAGAATGCCTGATCCATAAGCATAGAATTCCATGCAAAATAGCACCTGACTAGGGAACCTGCTTTATGGAAAAGGAAGTGTGGGAGTGAGCCCACGGCCATGGGATTCACTGGTTGGAGTAGTGATAGTATGAGCGGAAGATGCCAGCTGAGAAGATGCCAGGTGAGAATTGAAGTAAATTGCTTAAGGAGTAGGTGAAGCACCACCCTGAAGACAATATTATGCAAGGATGAGGTACTATTCTCCAGGATACTGTGTACACAGCGAGTCAGAGACCTTTGTAGGGTGCGGTGTCCCCAGTAATAAGACTACATGGATCCAGGAACCAAGGTGTGAAGGCAGGAGTGGCCCTACTTGCCATTACTCCCAGTGATTACTGGGGGACTTTGTGCTTCCCAACCCCTCATCTCTGGCCTATGCAGTTGGAAGTCCTGGTTCCTCAAGAGGGTACATTCTCACCAGGGGACGTGAGTCCTGCTGAATGATAAGCTATGGGCTGTAATGGTGCCTGGACACACTGGGCTCCTTGTATGCAAAGACCAGCAGGCAAGAACATGAACCATTATCTCGTTAGGAGTAGTTGACTCTGATCAGCAGGAGGAGGCAGGGCTATTGTTATACACTGGGTTCAAGGGATAACATATGGCACTTAGGTGACCAATTTTGGTGCCTCTTGGTACTCCCTTACCCAATTAGACTGTGATGGACAAGTGTAGCAACCCTAGTCTGATCAGCATACGATTACGAAGGACTCAGACTATAAGGAACGAAGGTTTGATTAAGGTTTGAGTGAAACCACCAGGTAAGCCACTGAGACCAGAGAGACAAAAGCCAAGGGGTTATAAGGATAGTGGAAGAGGGAGAGAGTGGGTACCAGTTGTCACTCTGAAATCAACTGCAGTGACAGGGGTGTTAAGCCATTTTCCTAGCCTCCCTCTTCTAAGTTTCCTCTCAGATAGAGAGGCCCACCAGAGCCCTAGAGGAGCTGCCATTGATCATGGATGGAAAATTGGATCTACACATTGCATGGAGTGGACCGTGGCAGACACTAAGATGCAAAACTCAGACCCACCCTCAGAAAAGGGATGATTTCCAGCTACAAGGTGTACGGTTAGCTGACAGCTTCCAACTGTTGGCTCCTTTAGCATCTATATCAGTTCAAGCTGAGGTTATGTTCTTGAAGCATTCCCATATCAACGATTAAGAAAAGTATTGGTAAAGGGCCCTGGCCATTTCTGGCCAAGGTAGGACTCATCTAATGGAAAATCTGTGCTCCAGAGCATCCTATTGGGCTGACTGATTCAGGTCTGTAGCATGGTCTGATGGTCCATCTCGCTCAACCCTACTTCTTCCCCGTTCTTTCACAGGTGTTACTCCCCAACAAACTTCCTGCACTCCCAACTCCACCTCAGCATCTGCTTCCTGGACAACAGAATCTGTGACATTGATGTCTCTGATAAATTTACAAGCCCTGTACAACTGTTTTGCTTCACTGTATGAACTACCATGGAGTCCAAATAGTTCTGTAATGCAGTTGTTTCTACCACTTATCCACTGAGTGAATAATGTCTAACCTCCTAGATCTAGCTCATTAAGGTGATTACATCTAAGGCTATATTTACATTCTCCCTGAAAATGGTAATGTTGTCCATAACAGGATCCTCGAAATACATGAGGTAATGGAAAAATGAAATTCAAATTTAAAGCAAACAAAATTTTAACACAACCAAGACAGTTCCTATTGTCCTAGTTGTATTCCCTAACAATGGAATAAAGCTTACATCTGCCCTCAAATGTATCAAATATTTTGGAAAACATTTTTCTCTTTAGTCTGTATTATTTGACGTCTGCTTCCCAGAGTCTTGTTTTTATTTATTTAACACCTTAATTGTATTACTTAAGTGACTAAGAAGCATTCAGGAATGCAAAGTCAGAATGATCTGATGAACTGAAATTGCATTGTCTTTTTTTTTTTTTTAACAGATCTAGATCCTGCAGACCATAATAGAAAAGCTGTCTCCTCTATTTTAAAAGTAATATTTATATTCTTTACAAGGCTCTCTCTTGAATTTTAAGGAGGAACAGTAGCGTGACTGCCTCATCCTTTCCAATAACAAAACCTTTGATAAAGGCTCCTGGAACATTAAATTATTGTTTTTCCTCAGTAAATGCCTATTTTAAGTTCACTTGGAACATCATGCCTCCTTGATAAAAGTCTGAGTTGGAACTGAGTGATCTCTCTCACCTTTGGCTATCTGCTGAAACCAGTTTTAGGGCTCTAGAATGTCCCGAGGTTAAAAAACAAATCATCAGTCTTCTTGGGTCACATTACTTGTTCATTTATTATTGTGAGTAACACCCATCCTGTGTCCAATATGGCATTTCAGAGGAGAAGGGGGGACAACAGATATGTCCCAACCACAATTTCTCAATTCTGGAAATGGTTTGAGGGCAAATTCCAGTCTGGATCTAGAGCTATCAGCCACATCAGTGATTCTGTTACAGAGCCAATCAATTTAGTAAATGGATATTGAGGACATCTCATTTTAATTTTTCAGTGAAAAGGAAGACTAACAATAAAGGTGTGTGCTGGGGAACTTTAGCAGTAAGCACTACAGTACAGCTGTCAGTGCATGGGTTCTGCAACCAAACTGCTTGCGTTTGCATCCTGGTCTTGCCACTTACCAGCCATGTAACTTTTGGTATTACTTAACCTATCTGTGCATCAATTTCCTCACTAGTAAGAAAATGGAGATAAGAGTGTCAACCTCGTAGGGTTGTTGTAAAGACCAAATAGGAACTTCTTTTCCAGAGAAGAACTGAAAGAGAAATGTGACTTCAAAAGCCAACCTTCTTGTTTTAAATGCATTCTAATAACTAGAGAAAGTCACAGTATTTTCCAGTCCAATAGTTATTGGATGTCTTGATACATGTCTACTTTGCAGGTACTCAGAGAAGCTCATACTAAATAGTAATTAAATAAAACGTAGCACAGAGGCTTAAATTACAGTTCTTTGAAATTTGAATAGCAGGCAGAAATAATCTTAAACAGGTCATGATACTTATGTATTTCTGAGGCATTGAAAGACAAGTAAATGAACTCTGTCTCTTAAATACAGAAATAAAGTACAGTCCTTAGACTTTAATCCTTGGTGCAAGGTTAATTCATAACGGCTTACCAAGAAATTATTGATAAGCAAGCAGGGTTCAAATGTACAAAATTCTAATACATATAAAAAACTATTTTTCTAAGGAAAAAAGTAGCCCCTGAATAAGAACTGGCAAATTTTAATTTCAACAAATGAGATTTTTCAATCTTACTCATAAAAGGTGATGCCAAATATCTTAAGACAGGGTTTATCCTCAAAGGATAAAAAAGCAGTATAAAGAGCATGTCAGAAGTATAAGATTTTGCTAACAGAAAAGCAGTAACACGTCTCTTATTAATCTTTGTTTTCTAGTTTTCAACTCTGGCAAAATTCCAATTAAATTTGTCAAAATGGTCAGACTTTTACTAGTTTGGGCCAATCCTCCAGAGAACTCAACCACAGAACCAATGAATATTTTTAGCTATATAAAAATAAACATATATCTTGACCCCACACTCCAGGAAAAAAATCAGAACACAAAGAGAAAATGGACTTGAATTTTAATTTTTTAAAGATTATCTATATATATATATATATATATATAAAATGCAAAGAATAGACCTTCATGTTTAAATTATATTCTAAAATATAATTTATATATATATATATATTTCCATTAACTGCAGGAGACAACTGGCAAGTAAAGAGCCTGAGAGAGTCCAGTCCCTCTCCACCACTACAATGGACATATATTTCAAGGAAGCACCTATGAAAAATAGTAGAGTGTTCACAACACATCTGGTAACACAGATAGCTTCTGGGTGTTCTTGAAAGCAGTTTGTTTGCATTTTCAATTTGACATGAAATGAAGGGAAAAATCAAATTCATAAACAGAAATGACATTACTTAGAACAATCTAGTATTCTGTATTCATGTTTTACATGCCCTAGAGCCTAGTATTTTCATGCAGCAAGCTACACTCACATGTGCGTTAGTAACAGCTATCAGCTGCACGCCTCAAATGGTGATCAGCTCGTAGTGCAAGTGCTCTCTGCTCCTACCACTGCTGGTTGAGCAACACAGCTGGAACATCTGGTTAGAATTGAATTTTCCTTTCTTTAAAAATAAGTGAAATTTTTAAAAACACTGTAGCATTCAGCCCTGTTATACGTAGCTCAAGTTACATTTTGGCCTTAATATTAACTGAAAGGTCTTAATAACAAGGGGCTTATACTATCTGCTGCTTTCTTACGTATTTATGGCAATGGTGGCAAAAGGTTGCAAAAACTTAATAATAAAAAAAGATATATGACTGGATTTTTTCCTTTAAAGCAATCTAGGATATTTCAACAATTCAAATTCAAAAATTGATTTCTACAATGGCTTCAGCAGCCATTCACCCACATGTAGAAAAGATCCCTTGGCTTTGATTTGGTTTTATTACTCTTTTCCTTTTTCATAACTGGAAATAATTCCTATTTTAGAAAAGATATGTTCTATACATTGTGCCTGCGGCAACATATCAGTAATACTGGCTATGACAGCATTTTGCCTCAAAATGTCAATAATATGCTCTCCCTGAATCTGGGCAAAGTCAGTATTAAAATACAGATAAGCTGCAGATAATCAATTAGGCATAACATGTAAACTCAAAGGTCCATGGTCTCTTCTCTCCTTTAGTCCTGTTATAAAAACAATTTTGGTTACAAGTGTCTACACAGCACCAATTTTATTTCAAAAGCAGCATCTTTACTCAGCCACCCAAATGAATCTATAAGTACACATGCTCAAATAGCTTTTTGCATTAACTTCTGTCCTGTAACTCTAAAAGACCAGTAATTGTATTACATTTTTCTCTTAATCAAAAATTATTCAGCAATTATTAAAACCATCAATTACAATGCCGTAAAAATACCCATATTCGCTGAATTAAATGAGAAGCTCCCTTTACATGCAACTGTATAATAAGAGAATTATGCCCGCAGTTGATAAACACTGTGTTCTGTAATAACAGAAGAAACAGGTCTCTAATAGTAAAAAAGCATTTCATAAAACTTTGCCATATATAAAATATCTTATTAATTGTGACCATTCCACTTATGATTAAAGCATAACATAAGTGTTTGTTCTGCCTTCTGCTGTGGGACAGTCCAGGGTCATACAACTTCAAAAAATAAGAATGCATCTGTTTCCCAGGCGGACAAAAGCTTGGGGCTCAATTACACTGTTTCTCTCTCAAACTCGTCTGCACTCATGCATACATACACAAAGCACCTACAGTTTCAATCTTCATGACACTGTTGCCATACTTTTTTCCTACCAAAAGTCTGTCAGGAAAATGTGTTTGCAAAATAATTATTCTTGTCTATACCCAGCCTGGATCTCCATGGCTCATTTTTATGATTTTGAAAGATAATGTCTGCAGCAGAAGGAGAATAGGCCTTATTCATCTTTCTCAAACCCTTTGGTTTCCACCTTTAATGTTACACTGAATGTAGATTTGACTCAGTAGGCCTGGGTCAAAGGCTTTACAGATAACAAACCTGAAGTGCATTAAGAGAATAAACATCTGCCACATGGCACAGGAAAATTTAAAAAGTAGCGTTAATAAACACAACTCCTCATACATGAAGATTTTACAAGAGTCACCTAAAAATTTCATAAAAAAATTAAATTTGTAGGAGGGGTGGAATTATGTAACAAAGGTCAAAAGGTCAAATGCAATCAGATAATTGCATTCTTTGAAAAATACTTCACTTACACACTTGTATTTCTCAAGCTTCCCATCTATAAACATGGTGGACCGAGAAAAATACACATTAAAGAAAGGGATTACATCTGATTAACAAACGAATAGAAGAACAAACAAAAAGATTTCCAAGTAGGTAAGGAACTAGCTTTTACAGAAAAGTGCTTTAAATGTGCTTCTGCAAAAAATATGACTTGGAGGCAATTGTGAAGTTTTGACACTTATACTTTACTCATAGATTGGGCAGTTATACTTCTATGAGGCAACTAAATTGAAATATAAAACAAAAGAATTGTTCAATTATTACATCACAAAGCCCCAGGGAAAACCTGAGCATAAAAGCTCCCTTTGATTAATGTTTCCCACTTTTAATGCAAAGTGCAAGAGTAAGGTCTTCGAATGGATGACACAGGTGGGAAAGTCATAAGCTCTTCCCCCACATTCCTCACCTTCATTCCCCACACACACCATAGATAGTTTGCGAGCTAATTCTCAACTCTCCTGGTGCACGTATCCAGGACTCTATTGAATTATTTATAAAGTCAGGCCTCAGTTCCCAATAGTTTAAAGTAATGAAAAAGAAAGACATGAGAAAATACATTCAATAAGCAAAAACAAAAGAACTCTAGAATCTGACATATTTCATGTTATGAAAATAATGGCTGACATAACGTACAAGGGACATTAAAAGTGAGTCAGTAACATACAAAGAGATCAGACTGTTCTGCCGGTGCTTCCAGAATAACTGCAAGTTTTCCTGGAGTTTTCACTCTACATCTATTCTTCTTCGAGGTTCTAACAGAGTTATAGCTTCTTACTGCGTACCTGAGATTAGAATCAGGTTGAAAAATGCTTAAAACACTTTCAATTATTTCAAAAGGGAGAAACGAGAACAAAAACATCACCCAGGTTGAGAAATAAGAATTATGAACAGAACAAAACTATTAGGTAAACCACACATCAAAATGAAAAAAAAATGGAACTGAACCAAAAAAGCCAAGGAGGGAGGGTAGCGGAAGGAAGAACTGGGAGAGAGAAGTTCTGGCCCTTCCTGTGAAGATTCCTTGTCCCCCCGTTTAAATTCTCTAGGAGACCCTTCTAAGAGGCTACACTGTTCATGTTATCTTCACAAGTGTACCCAACAGTAACGATAATCAGGTGGCAGGCAAATCCCAGTGAACACAGTAAGAAGTCGGTGATTTCTTTGTCATCTTTCCTTACAGAGGGCACATACACTGGAAATGTGGCCAATTCCACTGGCTGAGCCAAGTAAATCTGTGGTAGAAAATACCAAAAATGGCCCCCTACCCACTTCAGGTGGGAAAAAATACAAAATCCCTCCCAAACCTAAACAGAACAAAACAAAACAAAAACAACCTCCTCCCTCCTAAAGAAAACCACATTAAAAACAAATGCCCTGCAACAAGTCCTTATGTGTACGTTTTCACAAGGCTGGTAGAGGTTATTTTGTTTTGGATTCCACGTAAATTTTATCTCCATCCCTAATGCCAAAAGAATGCAATGCCCGAGAGCTGTACTTCATTTCCTCTGGGCCAAAGGGTGCTTCATGGTCAAAATAGTAGAGAAGCATGTTGCTTGTGGGTAACTGTACCAGAGTTTTTAACTGTTTCTTTAGTTCTGCAACTGTTTGGTCCAGACGAATGCTCATTTCTTCCACCTGATCGTTAAAGTGGACTTCTACTTTTGCACTGCTCTGGGGTCTTAGGTCCACTTCTGCCAAAGGCTCCAACTTCCCATATTTTGTGATCAGTTCATGATACCTAGAAGGATTAAAAACAACAACACTGTCAGCTTAAACTACTAGCACATGTACTGTGGACTTCTTCCCAACTACAGATAAACAATATTACTAGGCTCAACATCTTTAAAAAGTCTTACTCTATCATTATGATACTGTGCATTCTGTGACCTAATATGAGTGCCCGAGGGAGGCCACTGTAAAACCGGGGAATCGTTTTTCCTGAAGACGGTCACATGCCTACTGTTAATCAATGATTACATAAGAATAGGCTTAGGAAAAAATGGAACCTAGAAAAGTAGACACTATAAAGATAATAGAAGTCCAATCTCTCTGTAGAACTTGCTTTCTTGGGTGTCATCACCAAGAAGTGCAGATATCCAGGCATGTATCTCTTGGGAATAGATGGAAAGACGGAGGGAGGCCAGCAGTTTCTGAGGCCTGGAGAAGCCATAACTTATAAAGAAAAACATGTAGTTGTATGTTAGCAATTAACCTAACTCTTTCAGAGATGCCTTGTTTGAATGTTCCAATCTAATTTCAGGTGTAATACATAGAATTTATGGAAGAATCAAGAATACATTCTTGGAAAAAAGTGGTAAATAAGGGATACACGTTTCTTGATCAAGGAAGGAATACAGAGCAAAAGACACCAAGAGGAAAGTGAATTACAGAGATGAGAATAGGGCCCACAAAGGTCACGTTTCCCATAGAGAAAATTCTGTCTGCACTGCCAGCCCTGGAGGATCTAGATCCGATTTTATCAAGGACACTTACAAGTTTCCTACATATCAGAAAGGGAAAAAATGCTGAAAAAAATTAATATTAGTTTTATTAAAACCAAGATACAGTGAGGTCACTTTAATTAAGGATCAGAATACAAGTCACACAAAATTATCCCCCTACCTCCTCCACAACACTTTCAGCTTTAACTCAGTTAAAATCAATGTCATAATAAGGTTTGTGGGTACATTAAACATACAGTAAGACCACTGTGGCCAGGAGTGGTGGCTCGCACCTGGAATTCTAGCACCTTGGGAAGCCCAAGGGGAAGAATCACTTGAGCCCAGGAGTTTGATTAGCATGGACAACACAGAGAGACCCCATCTCTTAAAAGAAAAAAAAAAGACTGCTGTGCTTAGAGATGGAAGTAATCATTTCTAATAAGTGGAATAATAGGGAACGCTAAAAATAGCCCTGGCTCTGTCTTCAGGGTCTTGACTCCATTTTATAATTAGCTGTGTGACTTGGCAACTCACTGTCTTTTTGGATCTCAGTTTCCTCATTAGTAAAATTAGGAATAATTTCTTCCCTTCCTACTGTATAAGACAGTCATAAGAACCAAATAAAATATCAAACGAGTAAACACTTTGTAAATTCTATGTTCATAAACAAATAAAAATATTTACATTATATTACTGCTGCTCTGAAGCTTATTTTAAAGCACATCCACCCATTAAAACATATAAGATTGCTGGACACAGTGGCTCACACCTGTAATCCCAGCACTTTGGGAGGCTGAGGCAGGTGGATCACAAGGTCAGGAGTTCGAGACCAGCCTGGTCAACATGGTGAAACCCTGTCTCTACTAAAAATGCAAAAAATTAGCCAGGCGTGGTGGTGCGCGCCTGTAGTCCCAGCTACTCAGGAGGCTGAGGCAGAAGAATCGCTTGAACCGGGAGGTGGAGGTTGCAGTGAGCTGGGATTGTGCCACTGTACTCCAGCCTGGGTGACAGAGTGAGACTCTGTCTCAGAAAAAAAAAAAATGCACACATATATATAGATATAGATATATGAATGATTGAAATCTACTTAGGTGGGACTTCAAGATGTCAGGATTTTAGCAAAGGCAAACAAAACAAAACAAAGCAAAACAAACAAACACAAAGCTGCCAGGACTTGAAATTTTCCAAGGCTCTAAACTGAAAAGGTATGATGATTCAAAGTCTAGGGGTATCTTTTCCCCACCCCATATCCTAGTATATGCCTTCAAATAACTGAAACTAGGTTACGAAAATTTAACAAAATCTCAGAAAAGACAGCAGAACCCAGTGGTCAAATAAGAACTGAACCCAAGTCTAGAGATGTTTTACCTTCAGACTATAGAAAAGTAAAATTGTAATACCCTAGCTCTTTTGCCTAGGAGTAACAAAAGAAACAATGTCAAAGTGTTCAAAGAGAATTTACTCATACTACATTTCAGCAAAGAGATGACATGAAGAGAAGTGACCACTTCAAGCACAAGCAAGATGATGAGACACAAAATAGCAACAGAGCACATACCACAGCAAAAAGAATAAAGGAGAGGAACACATAATAAGTAAAAGACAGAGGCAGAACTCAATCTGAGAGAAAACACAACTGAAGAAAAAGAAAACACTCCACAAAACTCAAAAGTCTAGAAATTACTAAGTACTTCAATATAAAACCAGCACTCAAAGATAAATGATAAACTGTAGAATGAGATGAAAATGGAGACTGCAGAGCTAAAGAAACAAACTGAAGAGCAAAACACCACCGACACAGACCCAAATAAATGAATTAGAAAGAATGGCCCCAAAATATTATACCTAACCTAGTGCTTTGGTTTGAATGTGCTCCCCCTCACCAAGCTCATGTGCTGGAAACTTAATACCCAGTGCAACAGTGTTGACAAGGGGCACCTTTTAGAGGCGACTAGGTCACAAGGGCTTCATGAATAGATTAATGGTGTTACAGAGGGAGTCGGCTAGTTATCCTGGCAAAAGTGAGTTCAGCCCTCTCTTGCTCTCTTGTCCTTCCTCCTTCCATCATGGATAATACAGTAGGAAAGCCATAGCCAGATGCTGGCACCCTGATACTAGATTTTCTAGCCTGCAGAACTGAGAAATAAATTTATTTTCTTTATAAATTACCAAGTCTGTGGTATTGTTATAGCAACACAAAATGAACTAAGGTACCACGTTTTTTCCAGAAATAAATTTAATAAGCAGATATTCTAAAATGAGAAATAAGAAATAGAGCACCATGAGTCCTTCTGGTAAAAAACAAAAACAAAACCCCACTACTCAACACTGAGATTAAAGAACTAGGGATAAGCCCTGAATCTATTTAAATATAAAACCAAAACACAGTAACAACTGTATACTCCTAGACTCATTCATACTTGACATTATAGCCAACTGAATTAATCTCAACCATAAACATATTTGTACACAAAATTATGACCTACATTCAGAAATTAGCCTATCTTCCATAAATGGGCAAGTACATCTAAAAATTAAATGACCTATAAATTCAGACACTCTGAAGTCTTAGTTTTCTCAAAATCAACATGTTCAAAAACAACTGCCAGTCCCCAACTGTGTTCTCTTCTAGTCTTTCGTATCTCAGTAAGTGGCACTGGAAACTATCTAATTATCCTAGCCAGAAAGTGGACAGTCATTCTTATTTATTTCTCTCCTATCTCTTCTCTACTTCTCTCATTCAATCAATTACCACATCCCACTCATCTTCCTACATATCCCATGAATCTATCTGCATTTCTCTTGTTCACTCACCTTATAAATTCAGGCCACTATAATTAATAACCTAGATTGCTACAATTTTTTGTGGCTGCATAAACTAGATGAGCTTTCTCAATATCTGTTTCACCCTCCTCCTGGTAGGCCTTCCTGTATTTCAAAGATGGAAAAGCTGAAAAATACATTTCCCATACTCTGTTGCCAATGAGATTTAGCTTCTATCAATCACAGCCCTGGAGAGAGGCAGTAGATCTAGTAGATCTAGTGTGGAAACAGTTTGGGTAGAGGCTTCCAAATTACTAGATCGCACAGTTCAAGCAGTCTGTTTCTAGAGTCAACGACCCCAGCAGCAGCTTGCTGATCTCCAGATCACAGTTAAAGTGATGTGATCAGCACCAGGGACAGCAGCTTGTGAATTTTCCCTTTACTTGATTCCTTACAAAGGTGAGCAGTGCCCTTGGTGGGCCAGTTCCATGGTACTACTCTAGAGTCAGTCCTAGAGAGGAGGCCTAAGTCTGCTCCTCCAGCCCTTCCACAGATTTTGTAAGCACTTTATTCACTGTCTGAAATCCCTTTCTTCTTAAAAAAGCTAATGGCTTTCCATGATCTCAGGGTGGCCCAAGACAATTCTTGTCTTTATGATAGCCACAGGGTTTGTTATAAAGCACAAATTGTATCCCATCACTCCTCTACTTAAAATCACATAATACCCACCAAAATAAAGTCCTAACTCTTCAACATGATTGTGGTAGGCAGAATTTTGGCTCCCATATCTGGGTAGGCCTAATCTAATCATATGAGCCTTCAAAAACGGAGTTTCCAACTGGTAGCAAAAGAGGAAGTCAGAGGCAGTCAAAGCACCAGAATTTGACACACCATTGCTGGTTTGAAGATGGCACACATGGAAAGTGTAAGAGAGAAGAGAATTCTGCCACCATTCTGACTGTACCTGCAAAGAGATTCTCCTCCAGAGCCTCTGATATAGAAAATAGTCCTGCTGACATATTGATTTTGGCCTTGTGAGACCCTAAGCAGAGAACTCAGCTGAGTCACACTGTGCCCAGACTTCTGTCCCACAGGACCATGAAATACTAAGTAGGTATTGCTTTAAGCCGTTATGTTTATAGTAATTTATTATAGCAGCAATAGAAAACGAATACAGTAAGCATAAAAAGCCCTTCATGATCTGGTTCCTTCATAACTTTCCAACCTTATTTTGTGTCATCACCATTACCATTTTCTGCACCTTCCTTTCCACTTGTTAAAATCTTAAAATCAATGTTTATTTATTAATTTATAGGTAAGGCCAGCAGACTTTTATAGATGGGTTAGGCTTTGGATGCGGGCTTTGAGAAATATTCACTATTAAATAAAAAAGAAGCAAGTGTACTAGAGTTGTGATTCACTATACATACTGAATATGTTCCCTTAAAAGCTACATAAATAAAAATCATGGTTTCAAGATAATCTGTTTTCTCCCAATTTTCTTATTTTCCACTTATCTTTAAGCAGGAAAAAT